CACCATCTGGACTGGAACACAAGCTAAATGTACCTGAGCTTCAGAATGAAAATTCAGTTCATTGCGTACCCTTGAAGGCAAAGGTCGGGTCAGCTCACTGAAGAAGTCCCTCCCATGAATAGAGGTGCTAGGTCCGCTGCTGCAGTGGTCGCACCGTTTTGCGCCTCTAAACGAGTCACTAAGACGCTAGGCGCTTAGCACTTGGATCCTCCTACGCCCAGAAAGATCCGTGCCCGCCCACCATTCGTATCTTATTTGTGTCGTAATGTTGACCTGCTATGCTCTCTCAACTCGGATTTCTTTCCCTCTCCGCGACTCACATTATCTCTTATCTCGCTGTCTGCTTCTTAGACTTCTCCGCAGCGTAGAGCAAAAGGTTCGTATTTTTGTGTTTTCGACGATTTTTTTTCCTTTTCCCCACTTGCGATCCAGTTCGCATCCTATTTTTGTGTGAGATTACCACAACAATTTGATCCTGTTCTTGCCTTTTAAGGGGACCTAATAACCCCGAGGGCTTTAAAGGCGAGCTTCGGGATAAAATTGGTGTGGAAAAGCGTTCAGTTATGAATCTAGAGGTGGGAGGTGGTCTGGAAAAGGAAAAGAAAGCAAACGAAACCCCGATTACCCTAAAGAACCTCTTCTATTTCAGCCGCATTCCACCTTGGGATAGAGAAGGGGCGTGTTGGACGAGTTTCACGAACCTAACTCCAGTTGCTCCAGTGCCAATGACATTGCGCCGCAAAGCGCACGCAAGTGCACCGCGCTTTTCAAGCAGCGCCACGTGGCAACCGAAAGCTGACACCAGCGAACATGCAACCATGCGTTTTTCAAGCAAGCGTCATAGCTGCGGCAACCAGAGTCAACCCTGCGTTGCGCAGTTTTCAACGGCCACGTTGCGCAGTTTCGCCCGATTAGACACGTTTCTCTCGCGCGAACATTCACACTCGCATGCTCGAGCCGTCTGTGTCTCCGCCCATACAGCGTGCGTTGAGGAATACTTCTCGACGTGACCGTTGACGATCTACTCCAGTGCTTCCGTCGCAACGCAGGGTTGACCCTGGTGGCAACCGACAGCGGAGGTGGGGCTTGCGGACGAAGGTGTGAGTTGCGGGTCGGACGAGCTCCTTGGTGCCTTTGTCACGCACTTTCAAGCGTGGCAAAAGGGGCGCGACATCAACGCTTGTCCGCCTGTCTACTACCCCAGGGATGGAAACATACCGCGACTTAATCTGGAACGTCACCTTCAATACCGCCTTCACATGCGCGCAAGGTTAATTTCGAAAGCGTGGCGTCGTCTTCTGGGTGGATTTGACGAAATGAGGTGTTCATGAAGAAATCCACTGCCATCAAAGACATAAACCTCTCCCTTCAAAAAGCGAGAAAGTGTCGGGTGCAGACCAAACACCACAACTGACGACGGCCTCCAAGTAAATCTGGTTAGAAGTTGTTCATAGTGATAGCTGATTTCTGGTAAATGATAGTTGTAATTAGTGACAATCGATAGAATACAACTGCAACAGGCTAATCATTTCATTGGCAGAAAACATTAACATTTTGTGAAGGCCGTCGTCACTTGTGGTGCATGGTCTGCACCCGACACTTTCTCGCTTTTGAAAGGGAGGTATGTATCGGGATGGGGAGGGATCAAAAATAACTCTATTACAGAATAGTTTCACCCAGTATCCAAAATAATCTTTTAGCTTTAAGTGCTCATTTCTCTTTCCGAAGACTGCTTCCGGCAAACGTTATGGCTCTAGAAGGGGCATCAACCAAAGTTCACGGCCCATCTGGTCCAACTGATATAGCAGGTGATTTGCGATTTCTGGGAGGGGGCTGTTTCGGCGGAGTCTTCAACGACTTCGGGATTTTTGCGACAAACCTTAGAAAGCGTGCGGCCAAAATTGCTTTTTTTTCTTTAAGACATAAGTAACCCTCCCTCGATGGCCGCTTCGGAGGTAAGGCACAAAGGGGACGGCGAGTGAAGTTTAAGTATTGTTGAATGGTTCAGCGATCGGATACTAGCGCATGTTGTTCGAGGGGGAGGGAGTAGAGCAGTCGGGGATGGTGAGGGATCTGCGAGCCCTCAATGAAGCGAGAGCAGGTTTGACGTTTGGAATTTTATTTTATGGCGCCGCAACTCTCATAGGAGACCAGGAGACTTAAGGGCACCTGCCCGTACCCCAGAGATGGGAAATTCGAATGTAAGGGTTGACTATTGTTCCGTAAACAGTGAATTGTCGTCTTCAGTCAGGATTCGATCTGATAATCCTTCTATCAAATTCTTAATTTTTCTGAGTTTCAGCAATTTTAAACCCAACAGATAAAGAAGGAAAGGATGAGAAGTATTCATTATCATAGAATAAATTCACAGTGAAATTCACAACGATGCATACATAATGTCAAATAAATTTATTTCGTGACAGTTTCGCTTTCTCAAAAGAAAACTGACTAGAAAAGAACAACGATTCCAACAAAGTTATATCTGCGGCAATTGCGTCGGCCAGAGTGGTCCACGTGTTGATGGACCTGTCAACAAATATAACCCTTCCTACCTCCCCTGACTGGGATTTTCGTCCATAATTTCCTCTGCAACAAGTAGTAACTTCATCCTACATAGAAGTATCCCCCCCCCCGCTCCCCAAGAGCACGCCAAGGTGTGGAGTAAACGCTACAATGAAGGCAGGGGATCCCAAACTTCGCTTTGTAAAATTTCCAGCAACCTACCTAATTTTCATGAATATTTCTGGAAATTTTTCTAATCGACAAGCCCCTGAACCCTGAGCCGTCCTCACCTCGTCCGCAAATTATCGCCATTTCCCAAAAATAATACAACCCCGCCCACCAGTCGCGCGTCATAGAAACATCGACGTTGGCTCACCCTGGCGCCGCACGAAGAGATTAGGGCAACCCATATAGCAAATATTAGAGTTATCCCTGTGATTGAAAATGTTTAAGTGCATAATGAAGAGATGAAAATGGCGGTGGTTGGAAGAGATTTCCTAGCTGAGACTGCGTTGGTGGAAGTGATGGTTCAACCAGTTCTGTTGCATCCTCCAAACGAAGTTTCTGCGGACTGTTCCCTTTGTTTGATTGCACTGTTCCCGTCTGCAAACAAAAATGATGACTCGAGTTTCCATCACTGGCGATTAATAACATCCATCGTTTTATGAATGTCATGTAATAATTGCAAGGTTTGATATGGTGACATGCTTCGAAACGAGCCTCCAGGGTGAAAATCGGTCGAGGATTCGTCGACGACTCGTCGAGGATTTTCGCCTGTTCAGTCACGCTCTCCCGCGCGGACATTCACTCTCGCCACGCGCGAGCCGTCTGTGCTCTCCGCGCGTACTTCACTCTACACTACTTTCACGCCGGCCATCTCCTTCCTCCCTCGCCTTCCCAAGGATTGATCACATCTTAATGCGGCAGAATCGCTGCAGTTGTTGTAACATGGTGCTGCAGTCAAATGCTGTACTATAACGTGATCGCTGTTTGGGAAATGAAGACTATTGAGAGGCGCAATGGCTCAAACCCGTAACGCTGAATCTCTATTTCCCACGTTGATTCCCGCCTTGAGCAAGTTAGGTGCTGACGTCACCAGCGTGGGCGTTCGTTCTTGCTCTCAGTTGAAAGAGTCGTAGTTATAGGGTAAGACAGGATCGGAGGAATCGTTCCGAAGAATGGGTTGGACTAAATACCCTAATAATCTGCGAGAGTACTTCTAACAAATACACGAGATTACCTTGAGCATGGTTAAAGGCAGGGACCACGATAGCCGGAATGGTACGTTTTGATGACGTTTCGAATGTCAATGGTGGAGTCAACCCTTTAACTCTGGTTGGGGCAGCTTCTCAATGCTCCTTTCCCCCTCCCCTCCACCACCGCCCTCCAGCCGTGATCACTACCTTTGCATCTCTACATCATATGTGTGGCACGGGAGCTGCTGCTACTCTTTCATGTCCTCCATCTTGAGCATCGGAAGCTATCACTCTCCTACTCAACATTAGATTTACGGAGGATAGAATAGGGTAATACCGAGACCCTCTTCAAAAGGGGATTTGTGCTGACACCGTCGCTCCCCTTATCGGTACCGTGCACGCTGCCACAGAACGTACTGAAGGAATCGGGCAGGGAAACGAATGGTTCTCTTCCTCTCATGAATCGCAAGTTTAAAGACCATCCTTGGCAATAAGAACGAGAGAGCAAGAAAAAAGTGTTTTTTTCTCCAATTAACATTCAGAAAAACCAGAGAAGTCAATACTCGTTCAAATTTTCATCGCGGCAGTAACACAAATGTTTTGGCGAGGAGGGACGCTCACCTCGACCATGCCAAACCACGCCTTCATTTTGCGGCTTCCTTTGGCTCGCCTAAGTGTCTGCGACTGCCCACCGAGCACGGTTTCATAAGGTTCGTTCCTATTCGGGGACTGTAATTTCCTGTATAGAACTTTCACGCTGCAGCTGGTGATAACACATGACGCATCTATGCGGGTAAGGATACAACAACTCTTTAGGTAGGATTCTTCCAGAATCATGCAAGGTAGGACCATGTTGCTGCGAAGGAAATTACACTCGGCTCGAATTGCTCTCAATCGAATCATTCTTACTTTTAACCCTGATAACCTTTGAAGAAACCTTTGAATTATAAGGATTCTTCACTGCGCTCTCGCACGAAGTTATACAGCCTTAAAGGAATCTTCCACATGGACCAGTGGGCGGGACCGGAAGTTTTTGTGACGAAATGCATGGTAGGTACGGATCCACGTGTCGAACGCACGAACGTGAACAGGATTCACTTCAAACCTTCCCATGAACGTGGATCCGTACCTACCATGCATTTCGTCGCAAAACCACTTCCGGTCCCGCCCACTGGTCCATGGTCCGTGGAAGATTCCTTTAAGCGATAACGAGTGCGTTCTTAATTGTGTGGTTTCATACTTGGCAAGTCGCCAGAGGACGCTTGCTAGAGCAACAATAAGCGTTCCACCTTGACCTGGTCAAATCCGCATCTTGAAAGGCTGCATCATCTGCTGCATGGGTAAAGTTGCGATTTGCTGTGATTGCGAAGTTGGTAATCCAAATGGATAATAGAATGGTGAGGCAACGATGAGGGCTGAAGTAATCCTGGCTGCATGCTCTGTTGGCTCGACATTTGCGAGGAAGATTGTAGCTCATTGGGGTTTTGTTCTTGGTTGGAGTCAAGCGGAGGTTTCTGGGAAGAAGTATCAAATAATGGCACGAGTGGGTGTGACCTCATGAAGTTGTGAATTTGTTCGTGTATCGATGGAAGTGAAAATGAGGGGAGACCGGCCTGTGAGGTCCCTGGGAAAGAAGGCTGCATTGGTGATGACGGAGGGCTGAGTATCGTGCGTTGAGGAAAACCAGGAAGCAAAGCAAGGAAGTTGAAGGGGGTATGGTAGGAGGTGGCTGATGAAGAGAAGGTAAAGTGAACATCGGAGAGGAGTTGTTGGTGTAGTTGTTGCCAGTTCACTTCGAGTAGTATCTGTCTTCATTTTGGGAGGTGGTATGGTACGACGTGAAAAGTGCGGTTGACGAGTGACATGCTGAATTGGATTGAAAATCGGAGCACCAAAGCTTTCCGGACGATCGGACATCTTCAAGAGACGTCGGTATTTCCTGAAAGAAAACAGCGTTCAGTAGTACTAATTATAATGATTAACAGGAGTCACGTAATTCTTACACACTTCTGAACTGCATTTTCAATAAGCTAGCGTTCCCAATGAAAGTTGTATTAGCTGCTGTCCAATGCAGTCGCAGCAACCTTCTCATCTACGAGGTTGGCTGTGGCAGCAATAGGGCTTTGTTGGGGTTTCAGTTCGTTTCCTTGGTTTTTTCTACGCTCCGATACCATGTAGCGCTCCTACTTTCATTTCTGACAGCGAGTTACTTACCGCACCATCTCCTTTGACAAACTTTTATGCCTTTCCCGCAAAGGCTGTCAGAGTCCGCGATCTGGCGCGCGAATCGCGCGACGGATCACAGAAATCACAAGTGCCCCGATCAATACTGCAAGGTGCTCTCCAATCCCGCCGCCATTTCTGCTTGATGGTGATGGTTGAATGACGACTGTTCATGATTCTACTTGTTTCATATTCAGTGTTTCAAATGTTCAAATGGGGCACTTGCGATTTTTGCGAGCGACGGTTCGCGGACTCTAGCACCAGCCTTAGCGGGAATGGTGTCAAAATTACTCACAGATGGATGGTGCGGTAAATTAATCGCTGTCGGAAATGAAAGTATGAGCGCTAAATGGTATCCAAGCATTGAAAAAACCAATGAAACCCCGTAAAGCAGGAATTGCTTGCCCGTTGATTTCTGCGCTTCTGGCGAGTCACAACGACACTGACGTAGCGGGTAAAAAAAAACGTTGTCCATCGTATATGAAAGTAAAGGCGGCAGGAGGTGCACGTTAAAGGCAAGAATCAGGATTAAATTGATGGGGTGATTCCACTCAAATGTGAAAGTAGGGGTGGAGGTGGACCGCCAGTGGAGAAAAAAGGAAAGAAAATCCTGAATACACAGGAAATACGAGCATTTTGCTCCATGCTGTGGGAGATTCAAAAGACAGGCAGGGGATGAGAGATAATGTGAGCGCGGAGAGTGGTAGAGAAGTCCGAGAAGAGAGAGCATAGCAGATCAACGTGGCGACGCAGACAAGATATCGAACGGTGGGCGGACCATGTTAAGTTTGGTGGAGTCTGTTAGAAGTCCATGGCCTAGGGTCCTAGTGACGCGTTTCGATGTAGAAAGGTGGCGCTACCTTTGCACTTGCGTACCCAGCACTTCTAGCCATGGTAAGGGCTTCTTAGGTGGGTCTGAGCCCGAACTTTGCCTTTAAGGCACAACTCGAGAGAAACGGCTCAAACCGGCGAAATGGGACCCATCTGCTAGAAATCCAGCCGCGATTGGAAAGGCCTTATTGCCAATGTCACCCTACGTTTGAGCCAAGCGCATTTGGCAGACTGTACACAAAACTCGCGGACGGCATAGTGAGGGTAAGCCTACCCTCACTATGCCTCTAAAATAGACCCGGATTGTTGGGGATTCCTATGACTGTAGTGAAGCTAGTTGTTCCCTTACATGCACCCATAAAATCTCGAAATGCTCGCGTATCAATCACCTTTTCTTGTTTCCGCGAAACTTTTCCACAGTTTGAAAGTCGGGCACCGCTGTGCTTGTCACCGGGTCGACATGGCTATGTGTCTCATGTTCCAATGTCACCCCGTTGTTGGCTTTTTCCAGGATACGCAATAGTTCTGATTCCACATCATCGTCCACTGAAAGAAAACATTATGACATGGCTGCAGTGAACACAAAACGCACTGGATCAGAATCTTGTAGGCAGCGATCACGATGGCTAGAAAGTTGTGCGGTTTTGATGACATCAGTGATATTGGTGGGGGACGGGCGTGGATGGGACCGCCTCTTTACGCCCATTGGGGCAAGGGCGTAAAGAGGCGGTCCCATCCACGCCCCCTCCCTCCCTCCCCCAGCGCGCTGAGGGGTACATCAATTACCATCATCATTCAATCATCAGGACTTCATCAAAAATACACCGCCCTCCATCTATCGTGGCCATGCCACTATCAGCCCACTTCACACATCGCGCCTACTGTAACGCGTGCATGCATGTGGGCCTGTACGAATGCATTATGTAAGACATTTTGCATGGCTAAAATCACAATCCTCAGTCTACTTCTCTCATTACTCTTCCAAGACAAGTCTTTCATGCTGATGGGCTGAGAGATGGGTTGTTTATAAAAAATAAAATTGTGTGTAAAAATATAGCCATGGAAATGAGGTTTGATTTTTGATATAATACCATTTCTATTCTTCCCTCTTTCTTACGCATCCAAAAAGGCTTCTACTTTTACCTAGAAATGTAAGAAATCGAGAAATATGATGACTTCCCAACAGGGTGAATAACGGTCGAGGATTCCTCGACCATGGCTCTCTACCATGCGAGAGTAGTGCCGAGAGTGAACATCCGCGCGGAGAGCACAGACGGCTCGCGCATGGCGAGTGTGAATGTCCGCGCGGAGAGCGTAACTGATCAGGCGAAAATCCTCGACGTGCCGTTGAGGAATCCTCGACCGATATTCACCCTGTTCCCAACTTCAAAACCGTATGACAGACTGACAATACTGAGTGAGAGGGCTTTATATGAGTATGGTTACTCTTAGACTTTTACGATCCAGGCGAAATCGGGCGAACAATTCCTTCGATCTATATGGGAAAAACACACATATGTGGCTTTCACGGAAATGGCGCGACAAGGGCACTAGACTGTTGCGCAGATGGCTTCAACAGCTTCAGTTCCATCCGTTCGCAGCATACTGTTGTCTGGCGCTCTCTCATCTGTACTTTCTCGCCTAATAATCTACCAACCGTGCTCAATTTTTTGCCGCCTAAGCACAGCCGCATTTCGAGGGTAAGTAAAGCTTCAGCTTACGCGTTTTCAGCGAATTTTTTTTCTTTACTATCAGCCATGTCGCACAGTGTTTTACGGTCCTTTGAAAGAAGCCACTGATTCGATCCTAAGGCTTCCTTTACCACTCCTGGTAGGCAGGACTCGAAGTGCGGGCGGTAGCTTGGGTAAGTAAAGTAGATCGATAATAGAATAATTTGTGAGAATACTAAAAGTAAAGTAAAATCAAAATTGGAATGGCAATTGTTGCTATGCATACCATCTGCTTCCAGTTCGTGAGGATCCGAAAGGCAGTTCATTTCTTCTCCAGTAACTTCGAAGGATGTCCTGCAAAAATTACAAACATCACTGGTATTCTGGAAAAAAATGGCAGATATAACTTTTATTACAAACTTTTCCCATTGATTCAGCTACCAAGTTACTAACTTGCTACAGTACTGGTAAAGATTACGATCCTTTTCCTATTCATATAATCTTCTGATATTTATCGATATTTTAGCGTTGGGGGTTTAGAACCATCACGAGGATACAATGTCGAAGTATCACAAAATTATCTCGTTACATTCTTGCGATGATTCAAGCATAGCAAACTGCAGCCAAAATTACCAGTCAAGAGTCGAAAATAATGTGTAAAATCAGAAGTTCCACAATCAAGGAAAAACTGTACGAAATGGGCGAGCTAGAGCATCCGCTGTTTCGACTGTTAGATTTCCCCTCTGTATCCAACAAGCAGGCGCAGTTCTGTATTACAGAACAGACAAACACAAGTGGCGGGACCGCCTCCCAAAATGGTAATTATTTTTAGCGACCGATTTGAACTGTATTCCTGTAATTTGCAGCTAACACCACTGTCATTTACAAGAAAATAAGCGCCACTCAAAAACTAACAATTACTAATTTTTTGTACTGCAGCAATTTGTTTTGATCCGCACTAAGACGGCACTGGCTGTTAACAAAAGGAGAACCTATCCCTTCCACGGCGGTTTTGGGGAAAATCTCGGGGCAGAGCTTCAGTTTATCACCCGATCTCAGAATCAAATAACGGTGGTGATAATGATGGTGGAGAAGGTGACTCGTATGGAGTGGGAGGGGCTTCGAGGCTATTTTTAGTAGTTGGGGGCGGAAGTTATTACGTGCTGGGATCCGTATAAGAGGGAAGAGCTGTGAAAATTTTGAATTGGCACGACCCTTTCTGTGAGGGCGCAAAAGTGTGCCTACTTGTAACGCCATATTCGACGCATATGGTGTGGTTCCCTAACTTCTAGCATTACCTTCGCGAGCCTGGATTGCTGCGCTGGTGAGCGACAGCTTCCTGGCACCGAACAAAGGTTGTCGGTAATGCGTCAGTACAAGCACTCGTTTCGCGCCCACAGGAACTACGTAAAATGCAGCGCAAATGTAGACGACATTCGGTGTCAAAATATGCTTTTTATAGGAACTTATGGAAAACTATAGCTGAAGATGGCTTCAGCGCACTGAAGTCGTGGCCTTTTCACGCATAGATGCTAGTTTATGTACCCTCCCTTTCAAAAAACGAGAAGAGCGTCGGGTGCAGACCATACACCACAAGTGACGACGGCCTCCAAGTAAATCTGGTTAGTAGTGGTTCATAGTGATAGCTGATTTTTGGTAAATGATAGTTGTAATTAGTGACAACTGATAGAATACAACTGCAACAGGCTAATCATTTCATTGGCAGAAAACATTTACATTTTGTGGAAGGCCGTCGTCACTTGTGGTGTATGGTCTGCACCCGACGCTTTCTCGTTTTTGAAAGGGAGGGTAACTGTCAGAGGAAAAGTCTGGGAGCCCTTCGTCGTCCCCCATTATGAGACCTGATCTATTGGATCTCTAAGAAAATCTAGAAAGGAAAGAAATTTCCATCAAGACTTCCCAACCTAAACCATTCTTAATCTCTTTTGAATAGTTGCAACACTGTACGAACCAGCTTTTAGCAACGCTGGCGTCCGGCCAAAATCACTACCCCCATAAAATTAGCGCTCGAAACAAGAGATCACAATGCGCTGATACTGATACGTGAGCTATTAGTTAGATATCAAAGCCTGTCTCCTGACGCTATTCGGGAAAAACGAACATTCTCGGATCATCTCGATCGATGACCTTGCGGATATTCGCGATGACATCAAAAGAAATCTGACGACCAGCGCGAATTACTTCGCCACCGGTAACCGCCTCGCCAGCACGTATCGACGTGACACCGACAATTTGAGAAAATCGTAGTCCTTCAAAGGTGCAGCACTGGAGGAGAAGCCTTAAAATCGCACATACAACACATAAAGATTTGAACCAACAACTATTTCAGAAGTAAAAGCCTAGCGATAGTTGGCAAATACTGCTTACTCTCATTTTACTTACGGTTGGCGCGGATGATTTATGAACTCAATTCCACCAACCACTGATTCTTTCCTCGTGCAAGCCAATCGATCAAAATTGCCAGAGCAGTTCTGAACAAAGAAGAAAATTGCGTTAACTTTCACTTTTCACGATTGAAGGAATCCTTCGCGGAAAATTCTTGCATTTCTTTTGACATGAATGTGTCAGTTGTGATCACTGGAAACAGCACACAAAGTTCCACGCATGAAGATTCGGTTTCCGAGAAACAAACGTACAAAAACTACACTCTATGGACAATCGAAGGTAATTCGGGCGGAGCCAAAGGCGAGGCATGGAAAGAAGTTGGCTTTGGCCGGCTACGTATCAGGACGCAATGAAGAATCGGGTTAAAGCGCGCGATTTCGGAGAGTGGAGACAAATCGATCGATAGGAATAGGATGGAGTAGAAGTGTAAGATGTGAATGCAATAAAGCAGAAGGCCAGAAAGAGTTTCTAGTGAAGGCACTCCAAGAACCAAGTGGAAGCATCGTCGCCAGCATTTGTGAAAGACGTCCGTGGGCACTTTGAACGCGTAGCAGCCCTTTCGATTTTTCGAATTTTTTACCAAAACAAAAGCAATTTTTTCTGTTCTTTTCATTCTTATCGTGGATAATGAGTCTCAAGCCAGTGATTTATGGCTGAAATAGAATCATGATTTTTCCGTGAAGGATCCTTTAAATATCCTAGTCAAAAAATGTTCAAGTAGCTTTGGAAACTCACCGCTCTGAGTTTGTTCATCTGAAGGTGCCCTTGCGATTTGTCACCTTCTCGAAAAAATCCATCGATCTGTCCTGATGCGTCAGTATGAAAAACGCTGTCATCAAAATCATCAGCAGAATGGGCTACACACGATGGCTGGGCGCACCCAAGCACAGGAGATCCTGTTTGAGGAAAAAGACTAGTTCATGGAGCCGTAGTGGTACTGCTTGATGACACACTCACCTGAAGGGAGCACCTCAACGCTAAATGGGACGCCACTTGTCCCACAAAATGAAGCGTCTGTGTAAGCCCATACGAGAAGGGCACTCCACAGGAGAAACATCTAACACTATTTTTGCTGAAGAGTTTCTCTGTAAGGCATAACATTCCCGTGCATTTTGAAGAAACACTCGACGATCGAACCAGAAAGGCTATTTTACAGGAAAATAAAGAAAGGGGAGGGAAGTTGAGCTACAGTAAAGAAAAGGAATAGAAGCCACGAAACCAGAGAAGTCAATCAAAAACCGAAAATATCACCTTTTTTAGGCCAGAATGGGACACAAGAGATACTGCGCACCGAAGAGAGGAAAAGAATTCGAGGCGAGAGAACATGGATACCAGCGAGAATTCACACAGCCCATGACGTCAGTTCCGAGGCGGGACTTCTGTGCTAGGTGGAACCCGTGAGCATCCCGAGACTTAACACATCTGCCTAGCAATTTCGTGCGGTGAAGTTGCGCAGCCTGTCAACTGCCGGACAGCAAAATTTTCTGCCTGAGGTTCTCATAGCGGTTTGTGCCCTTGATGTGATACAGAGATTGAGAACAGCAGTTCTGAGTCATATCTAAC